TTCTTTTCATGCATCAATTTAATGTGAACTCAAAAGTGCACCATCAACCATTTTCGAAGCATCCTTGAGGCATATATTCGCGATACAATTTAAAATCACATTCCGCTACTCATTCTCCTCCAATATCTTCTTACCGTATCAACATTTGGCCATTTTACTGTTTACATCTTCCCGATTCATCTCTGTTCCACACTTTTTTGTAATTCTTTCAATGAGATCTCTGTCATTTATTTCACTTTCATGCATAAACTCCGTTTCTCGTGACTTTGTTTCTCAGGAAAATTTTTTAGATACGAAGGGAAACTGGGTTTCGATGACTCTCATGAGATAACATTGTTGGGGGGACTTTCATTTCGTATGAAAGTGCATGAAGAAGAGATTCGTTGGTCGATCTCACCAGAAGAAGAGGACGGATGAATCGCGTTGTACTGCAGCCGTTTGGCTTTAAGACGATGTTCAGGTCGACGCAGTTCACGAGACTTGCTCTTCAGTCTCGGGTGATGATGTCCATCATATGATAAACGAAAACTCATACAGTTCTCACCCGAAACGAGGGAGGAGGTCTCGTGGACTGCGTCAACCTGAACGTCGTCTTAAAAGACAAACGGCTCCAGTACAACGCGATTCATCTGTCCTCTTCTTCTGGTGAAATCGACCTACGAATGTCTTCTTCATGCGCTTTCATACGAAATGAAAGTCCATCCAACAGCAACATCTTGTCTTAACCAATTAGAGCGTTTGATCCTTCAAGAAGCAAGATAATCTTGCACTGGCGAAATCACATGTCAATTGAGCCTGGCATCGGCTTCCAACATTTGTGCAGCTCATGTTATCAATGACAGCTCTTAACTTGCTCTTGACAGAGCTGACAACCTCGGTTGCCATGTCTCATTCTTCTTTGTCTATTTTTTTATCTTTTCTTTTTTACTCTTCCACATTTCATTATTCTCATCGTATCAAGCCTTTTCAGTTCGTTCTTCTTTCTACTTCAGTACAGAGAGTTGAGCACTAGTCAGATCACAAAATATCCCTTCTATGATGCTTGGTAGACTTTGAGAATTAAGCAGTTTCTTGACTTTTGGCTTGGCTTACATTTTAGAGTCTGCATAAGTGGAGCCCAGCCTCTCTGTCGCACCGTCTCTTCGAGAATCCTCGACCGGACATCCGGCCTCCAGCTCAGCTGAGGGGCCACACAAGCAATAGCTCATTATTGTGCTATTTCGTATAGTCCCTATTGCATATTGTCATAAAAATGATTAATTACACTTAATTTTTATTCTTACTCAATAAGATTTACATTCAGCCTAGGTCACATTAGGTGATATAGGACGGATAGTGAGGATTTTCCTCACATCGCTGCGAGTAAACCTACCGTTTCCAAGGGTTTTTCACTTAGCCTTGCCTCTCAAAAGGTATTCTCACCCCGACTAAACTGGATTGCGGTTTCGACCTCTACTCAACTAGCTTCAATCTGCACTCCCGGCGGGACTCGAACCCAGGCTGTGCTAGTGCAGCATATAATCTTGACATGTCAATACACCATGGGATCACAGTGCAGACATAAAGACTTGCTGTCCAGCCTGGATGAGAATAGCTTTTGGGAAGCAAGGCATGAGGCCTACTCATCAGATTGTGGGAAAAAACTCAACTATCAGTCATTCATCACCTTATGCAACTTAGGGTGACTGGAAATATTATCCTATATTTAATGATAATTTCGAGACCTAATTTATACGAAGTTTTCTCTTCTTGTTTATATATTTATTCAAATTTAGGTTCGTCCTGCGGTGACTGCCAATCCGGATCGGTTGTGTGCTGAGACTTTGGTGAGTTGACATCCTTGTGTTGTTATTGTGGCTTTTGAAGCGGATCTCTCATTCACCTGCACGGAGGACTCTGATTTGGTTGCAAAATTAGAGAAATCTTGAGGCTGGAATAGGTCAGCTGTAGCGTGAACTATCGTCTGATAATGGTGCCAGTCGGGACATCTTAGAAGCCTCGCTTCAGAGATGAGTCCAAGTGCTATAAGAGATTATACATTTTTTGTCACCTTATTCAAGTTGTGCTCTTTTCCGAGTCTAAAGAAGTGTATTGTTTTGGAGGTGTTCATTTCGTATGAAAGTGCAACCAAGAAGAAATTCGAAGGTAGATCTCATCAGCAGACGACGGCTGATTCACGTTGTACTGCAGCAGGTTGATGCAGTCCACGAGACATCCTCTCTCGTCAGTCTTCGTCGATGAAATAGCGAACATCATCATAGTTAGGAAGCATTCCTGCAAAGGTCTCCTGTTAACATTAAGTCGAGAAGACTGATCGGCTCTTTCCTACTTGCTATATATATTTATTACTCAAAATGATAATATGTTCAATGATACAGATGAATATTGAAAGGAGTAGTTAATTCTCTTATACTCGAATGCGTTGGTGTAAGTCTGTTGTAGCGTATGCACCCAAAACTGGCAGCAACTCATGCTTGTCGAGATTTTACACTGCACTAACATAAGCCGGGTTCGAGTCCCGCTTGGGATGCTGATGGGACCAGTTTAGGCAATTTAATGGAAACTTGCAGCGTAGCCATTTGATTGTAGCGAAATTCCACCACCATTTCTGCATCATCTTGGGCCAATAAGGCAAAAGTGAACTATTATTCAAGATTTAGTGATTGTTTCGACACCTACTCTAAACGAATATAAGTATTTCTCTCAACTTCTTGTGGGCAGACATGCTATTCGTCTAGTAGAATCGGGTCGACACGGATGTACTTCGATTATAATTAGTCATTTTTCGTATGTAAGTAAAGTTTCGAGACT